TGTAGGGAAGCCCACCACAGATTTGGAAGTAAGCAGAAGTCAGTCTGCTGAGAACAAAGCTCTTCCATGGTTTCTTTCTTCTTGCACTGGAGATGCTCACCCACTCTGCAGACTGCTACCGCATCAAACTACAGGAAGAAGTAGACAATCACCCAACCCACTCCTAACAGCTTCATTTATAGAGCACCTTAGGGTATATTTCTAATTTTAGTATTTCATTCTCTGATCTTCCTCCCCTCTTCTTCAAATTGTTTTTGATGACTGCTAGGTATAGTCTTACTGCTCAATACCCATCAAACTGCTGTCATATTTACTGCACACTGACTTACAGCATATGCCAATCTCTTGTGAAGAATTTCAGCCAGCATGAGAACTTTCTGCTAGGTAAGTGTCCAAATTAGCAGTACTTAGCATACAAGTGTCATCTCCAACTGTACTTACTAACAGTCTAATATTAAGCTGATTCATGACATTTATTGTACAAAAGTACCAATTCTGTTAAAACAACCTTACTTTTTCTGAGAAGCATCTGCTATGAGTTTATTAGGGTAAATAAGATGTCTGTGAGGTCTTAAAGTCACATTAACTGCTGACATAAGAACCTGATGGCTAGCCAACAGGATGGATAAGAGCAGTTAATAAAAAGCAATGAGAACAGTGCAATAGCAATGGCTGTAAATCAGACTTTTTACAACTCTTCTCTACAACTCTTTGTACTACCTCTGAAGTCTTCAGTTACAATCAATACCCATGCAACAGAAACATAATATTCTACATCACATGCACATCCAGGAAAAAATTACTGTCTCCAGAAGAAAGGAGTGGGTTGGAGCAATCATTCAAGGTTCTTTGTATTACACTGTGTGGGGTATACATGCTTAGCGTACTTCTCCAAACCGAGTTTTAAGAGCTTTGAATAATTTTTAGCCTCTCCTTTCTTTTAGCTTCTTCAAGTAGGATGGCAGCAAGACTTATAAAGCAGAGAGACAGAAAACAAGGCAAGGCTTAGGTTTCAGAGCCTGGGGGGGGAACATAGACTGTATGACTGCATCTGCATCATGGGCTGCAAGGTGGTGGCAGCCTCTGATCTTTCCTGAGTGATGTTATCAATACCTTCAAAACTCCGATGCTCCTCAGGGTCGTCTAAAGGCACCAGCTACACCCTAAGCACAAAACTGCCAAGCCCCAAGCCATCACAGTCCACGCTGGGCACGGAGGAGGCCGACGAACGCGGGTGAACCCCCGGGAGGCGCATTCCCATCGGCTCCTGGCCTTCGGGGCGGGGGGCAAGGCCCGGCGGGTGGATCGTGGATCCTGCCGCT